CGGACTGCAATCACCAGCCTCGACTGGAGTGCAACCAGCAGTCTCACCGACAGGTTTTCCCTCTCCTTTTACTTTTTGGACTCAGGGGGACCACGTGGGGCTCAGCACGGGCAGGGGAGGCCCAATGAACACCACTCTGTTCATGCCCCAGGATGGGGTGCCGGGTCATACATCTGGGTTTTGTGGGTTAAAACCAATTGTTTGTCTGTGTAGTTGTATTTATTGTATTATTTTTATTAAATTGTTATTCTGACTTATAATCTCTTTTGAGTTAGGTTCATTTCCCCTGCTGGTTTACCTTTAAACCAGCACACTACCTGTTAGAAGATGCTGAGGAGCAGTGCAGTCATCAGTGCCTATAAAAAGACCTGGAACTTGTGCCTAAATACCATGCTCTGTTTATTTTCTAGAACATTGACGGCATTTGGCATTTTGATTACAGAATTTTTTTTTTTTTTTTTTTTGAACACAGGACCTTGGTGATGGTTATCTTAGTAAAACACATTTCCAAGTAAGAAATAGACACATCCCACAAGATCTCAAGGAGAAAACCAATGATAACATTGAACAAATGTTACTTGCACATGTTGAAGTAAGTACAGATTTTAGATTTATATGTTTATAAAATAAATAATGAAATTTAAAAAGTACTATGCTAGTGAGTCCTTCCAAAAAGACTTCAAATCTTAAGTTACAGTGTTTTTAAATTAGTTTTCATACAGCTGTAGGATACTAATTAGTACAACTTATTCAGATGTTTTTGTGTATGTAGAAAAAGCTTAAGCATCAAGATTTAGTTATCTTAGAGGTAAAAATTAAAAAGATAATGAAAATAGAATTCATTTGAAGTGCTATTTCCTGCATATATATGTTGTGTATAAAACTTTTATATTCAGTGTATAGTTGTCTACTGTGGAACTAACTTAAAATATTGAGCAATTGTTTGAAACTGGTGGTGGCAGGAAATAAAACAGATTTAGTGTTCTTGAAGGAGAATAAACTTCTTTCTTCCAGAAAATTAAAACTGTTCATTAAACTCTGGTCGGACTGATCTGAATAATTATTTGCTTGTTTGATTCTGCATTAAACCTCTAGGTTATTGACTAATCAGGATATAAATGATAGAAACTCCCTCTCTTGTTATGGTTTGTTACCATTAATATGAAAATAAATCTTGGATTATAATTGACTGAAAACAATGTATTCTATATATTATAAACTGTTGAATAGATGGATGTGGTGTACTTTCCAGTTACCTTTTTCTGCAGTTCCTTTTCTCTTTTCATCAGCACTCTGATTTCTTTTTTTTTTCCTACAGAGACTGGTACATTTCAGGCATTTCTGGTCTGAAATGAGTGTTCTTTTGGCCTGGTTTCTGAAGGAAACGGCACTTAAAACAATCATGCTGTCTGTTAGTCTTGATGTAGTTGTTTCTGCCGATTTTTGAGCTCACTCACAGGTTTCAGTTTGTACTGTAAAGAGGGGGACATGTGTAAGTCATCTAACGGACAGCTGAAGCATTTTTAAGTTTTCCTTTAATTCAAATTCTAGTATTTCTTAAAAAGAAGGCTGATGTCAATGCTTCAGAGGTTGTTACTTAATTGTCACTAACAACAGTGTTTGTATACTTCAGTCCTGACTTGTAAGAACAGATTACTCTTTGTATTCAAAATTGCTTTTGATGATTGTGACTTTTTTTTTTTTTTATAATCAATCAGGTCTTCATTACAGAGTGCATTTTAAAAGAACATGCTGTAAAAAGCTGTTGAGTCCTTCTTCTGGAAAAGAAGGTGTCAGCTATAGAAAATGTCATAACACAAAAAAGACTTCAGAGCCTGTTAAATACTGAAATGGAGTCTTAAATATACTGAAATATAATACTAAACGATACACTGAAATAAGATTCCAGACCCAACTCTGTGATTTATCAAGATCTTGATATTAATAATTACCTCTTGAAATATTTTGAAAGATTTCTCTGTTTTGAACCATGGTAATCTGTGGGGTGGAAGGGCCCTCTTTGAGAACGAGCCTTTGTACTTGTCATGTAGCAGCTCTAAAGATGAAGAGTGAAGCAGGAGAAAGGTCTTAGAAAATTGTGAAGGTTGTAAGACCATAAGAAAAAAAAATTAGTTTCTTTTCCAAAACATTCACTGCCCTATATAGATGATGTCATTTGCATATTCTTCACTGAGCTGAGGGGTAAGTGGACTGTTAAAGCTATTTAATCTATCAAATGGGAAAATCACACCAATAAGTTGGAAAATGAAATTTGCTATGTATACATAAAGTATACATAGTATAAAGTTTTCTGTGTGTTTAAGAAGAAAGATGGAAATGGTGACTGTAGAGGGGATAAATAATTTTCTCAAGCACAGTACTTCCTATGTAAGATGCATGTTCTTTTTCACAGCTCTTGAATGCTTGAGTCCTGTTCCACTATAACATTCTGTTATTTAAATAGGCTTTTTTTCTTTTTAATGCATGTTGCATCCATAAATAACATGGTATTATGGAATTACTGCAATTTATTTGATTGAATTATTGAAATGATGTTCTGATGACTAGCCAAAGTTGTGGTCATGATAGAAATTGGAAAAGTTTCCTCTGGTTATGTAAGTTCAGTATTTAGCTTTTTCTTTTTTTCCTCAGAAAATTCATACATCTTATTGTTACATATTTGAAGCTTAAAGAGTATCTAGATAAGAATTTTAATTTATTTTGGAAAAAAACATGGCCATTTTCTGATGTTTGCGTGTTTCACAATTTTCAGTTCTAGAATTACTGTTAAGATCTTGATTTTTCTATATTGTAGCTCTGTTGTTTGTGTCTTACTGGAATACTTCCATCTGTCTAATCTGATCTCCTCCAAGGTGTGGTAGTGGATATGATGTATAGTTTTAGGTAACATAATTAGGTAGAAACAGTAAGAAAGAAAAAACAAGGAAATGAAGATCTGAGTAATCAATATCCATTGTTAGAAACAACCAGTGTTGACAAAAATCCGAGGAAAAAAATGTACTGTGGTATATGACATAGAGACCACAAGACTTTCCTCTCCTGATCCTGGGAATCCAGTTCAGAGGTTACCAATAGAATGTTAGTTTTGGCAGATCAGGGGAAAATCAGAGGACAGATTTTTGAAGTTGGGTGGAATTTTGGGAAAGTTATCCACAGTGAGGATTTAACTCCTGTGTAAATAATTGAATCCAAGACACCTCAGGGCGGAGGTGGTGTAGAATAAATCATTGAGTGTGTCCTGTCATAGTGAGGAGTAAGTTAAGATGTTGAAACTGCAGAGAGGCAAAATTATTATTGTTCTGTTCATTTTTCATCTGTGAAGAGATACTGAAACCTAATGATACAATACATAAAATACACAGAACAGCTGAAGTAGCTTTATTTGAATAGAAATTCCATTATAAGTTATCACAAGATCAAAAATGTGCTAATCTTTTGGGATCTACAGGAACCCTGATCAAATTATTTGAAAAGTTTATTTCAACTCATTGATCAGTGTGGACAGTTAGCATTTCCAAGTTTCCATGTCATTCTCTGGTATCTAAAGGTCTGGAGACTTCCTGGTGAAGGAGTGATGAATAACTCTGTGTTTTCCACAGAGCAGTCTGTATTGTGTGCTTGGTTCCATTGACACAAGTTATGTTTTCATTTGAAAACCAAGAATAAAATTCTATGTGGGTTTCTTTCTGCTTATTTTAGATATCTGTGATATAGAGCTTGTCACTTAAAACTTTGTTTCAGCCTGAGGAGATAAAAAAGCATTTTTGGATATAAATCAGTCGACCTATTTTAGGTGTCTTCTGTTGGAGAAGATGAGTGTCTATTTTCCTTTGGGGATGATCAAGGGGAGCTGGGTAGTTAACCAGAGCGTAAATGCTTGCATTTTGTCATGTGAGCCTCATACAACAAAATGTGGATCTCAGCTGAGTAAAAGCAGTGGTAATTTTTGCTGGTGACTTCATGGAGGCTGAGATTTCGCTTTGATGGTGAAGGTTATACTTAGTTGAGGATTGTATTTTGTAAAGTAGCAGCTCAAAAACAGTTTAAGGAAGTTTGTCTTTTTATACTTGGCAGTCACTGAGCTGTCAAGCTGGTTATCTAACCAGGTGCCTGGGGATCCTGTCTTAGGCAGACCCTTCCTTTCCATTTCCTTTCCATCTTCCTAGAAACAAACTGAGACTGTTCCTCTGGAACACCATTCTCTGCTTTTTTGTGGGTTTAGTTAAGTCAAGATATTTATTTTAACGTCCCGATTTGTAAACAGAAACTAGTAATGATATATGACTGATGATAAACGAACTTTAGACCAAGTTGGTGGATGTTCTTCTGACCACTAAGATCAGTCCCTTGAATACGAGCTGAAGAGTCATAAACCTTTTAGAGTCTCTTCCAATAGAATAAAAATAGCCTGAGATGCAAAGTGAGGGACAGACACAAAGACACAGTACCATTTGAAGATTTTTAAGTTGCCATTTTGTCCTGGTTAAATTTTTATTGAATCAGTTGTTGTCTTTCTGAGCTGTCCTGACTTTGTGCCAGAGGAGTGTCATCTGTACTTTTCCACAGGCAGCATAAATCTTGTGTAACCACCATACACAACCATCTTCAGTATGTATTCTTTTCTTGATCCAAATCAAATCTGTCCTGCCAGGGGATCTGTCAGGGTCTGTATTAGTGAGCAGGGGATTGTGTCATCTTCTATAGCAAGGACAGAACAGTTATATATACTATTGTGTGAGTTGCTGATAAGGTGACAAATAATGTGCAAAATTCAAAACGAGAATAGTCCTCCTGCCTCAGAGAGCTTAAAGAGTAAATTGGGAAAGTCTGGATTCGCTTTATGCATTCTTTTTGTTTGTTGTTCAAATAGCCCAAGGGAAGCAATAACTTGGAGTAATAATTCTCAGTGTGTGGTTTGTCTTAGCTCTTCTGGGTATTGCAGAAGAAGTGAGTCAGCGTGGAACCATTCCTGGAGCTGGAGCCATTGCCACTTTATGAAGGAGTGGGCAGGCTGGGAATGTTGAAGGTCTGTTGATACCTCGTGTTGCCTTTGGAACATGAGCACTGAACCCCAACGAACACGTTGATGAAGTTATGTATTTGCTAAACTTGGGCTCCAATGTTGCTGGAAGATATTCATTAGAGTTGGTGAAGATCTGCTCTATGGGGAATGTGGGAACAAGTCTGACATCTTCCTTAAGCTTCATAGTACTATGGTTTGCTGTTCAGCTGTGCTTTTCAGTTCGTAACAACTAGAAAATTAAAATTCTTAGCAATTATTAATCATTTTTTTCTCTAAACAAGTTCAGTATTTTTAAAATTAAGAACTACTCCCTTTTTTTTTTTGTGCAAAAGTAAATAAGATGAACTCAGTGTAAACATTTGCAAAACCATGGTATTTATTGGATGGTTAAAATATGTGAAGTGAAAACCCAGCAAACAGTGCTTAAAGAGAAAAATGTTTAATAGAATCCAGCACTTGCTGCAGGAAATAATGAAAGGACCTTAGTAAAGAGGGAGAAAATCAAGTATTATGTACTTACCTAAAACATCAGTTTGTAGTGAATGACC